TATGTGGCAAATTACTTTTTACCAACAAAATTGACAATATTTCTAAAATTTTAGATTTATTTTTTAACTTTTTAAATAATATATAGGTACAAGGGAGAATTTATTTCACTACTAGTTTTACTTATAACACTTAAATTGAAAAAATGTCACTTTTTTGATTTGTGACGCACAAATTAATAAAATGTATTGATTTTTTTTTAATATTTTGATTATTATCACCAATTATTTTAATTTTATTTTTTTATTAGAGTTTTAATACAATTGGTAAAATGTGCTCTTATTACAAATTATTTACTGATAAATGAATAAATGATAACTTATTTTAATTTAAAAGAGTAATTTAAAATTTAAAATAATATTTAACCAAATACAAGTTAACTTTTTATTCTCTAAACTTAAATTAACCCTCCCTAAAAAAAAAAATGTCTTGCCCCATTTTGGACTCGACGTGAACATCTTAATTGAATTGAGTATCTAAGAACTGTAATATTAAAACTATTTGCAGAAACATAATCGTAACATAAACTAAAAACTGCTGTGTATGTCCAATATGAGTAATTTAACCATATTTCAAACAAAGAAATTATTGTCGATTCATTGACCATTGTATCAATATGTAAAATTTTAAAAGTACACATCCTTGTATTTTATTGTTGATGCCATAGTCTGTGATTTCTAATTGTTTTTTAGAGATGGATCTATTACCTATTCTTTAAGATCAACTCACTATTGTTATTTAATTGTGTTAATGTTATACACTTTGACTTGATAATAACTTTATTATTAGTGACAGTGATTTGTAAATGTTTTTGAATGTAGAGTTTATGAAAACACTACAATTAAAATGCATATTATTATAACAATAATAGAGGAAAAACTTAACAACATGCTTTCAATTATAAACTGTGATATGAAAAAACGCATAGGATAAAAAATATATGACTAATTGCATATTCCAATACAATTGTAAGATAAGTAGATACCTATTATTATAAAAGATCTTAGATATCTCAAAAATAATAATTAAAATGATACCCAATATTCTAAAAGCTATGTGGTAAAATATTTGAGTAAAAATATTTTAATATCAGTTAGTTATTAGTTATTACTTATAACTTATTATTGATACAGCATACTTCAATTTTTATTTTCGTGTAATTTATCATTATTTATATTTTTTTCTTGTTATCATTTATAACATTAGGTACGTATATTATAAAATATTTGACATTTATTAAATTGTATGATTATTATAGCGAAGTATAAATTACTCATATGTTTAAATAATTTGAAAATTCTAACGTTTAATTTGAAAATGTCATTAAAATATTAATGATTTATTTAAAAAAAATATATATGACTAGAGTGTTTACTGTTTGGCCTTTGTATTCTATATTTGTCAACCCCTTCAATGTTTTATTTAAAATTATGATTATAATTTTAACATTTACAAGTCATAATAACAATTATAGACTCATAAGTTCATAATTATCATTTTTTTTTTTCTTACATGCGATGAATTATTTTAAAACACTTAATAATAAAAACTTTTTTTATACGATAGAGAAATTATATAATATTTTATTCTATACAAATTTAAAATTTAAATATTTTACTTGTAAAAATAATTAAATATTAATTAAAACATTATTTAATAATAGTAATTTTTTCTAGAATTTCTTATATACACATATGAATATGTAAGAATTTTTAAAATATACATAAATCATTAACTCATAATTATTAGTATTTTCTATAGTAGCATACAGCCAATACTTACCAAAAAACTGAATTTGAATTTAATTGGTTAGTACCATTTCAAGTACAATATAAATAAATCTAAATCTCAACAAATCATTTGGTCCTCGGATATCCGATATCCATATTTAATAAATAACGTACTTTATTATTTTATGTGTTATTATCATAAATATATTTCAGACTGACAAAAATTATAACATTATTCACGTAATAAATAATACGCAGAACAGTTAACTGTTACCTATATTCGTATTTAAGCACTTACTATTATAATTATTAAATATTATTATACCATATCAAACGGATATTGTAAAGTTATAAATAAAAAGATAATATTATAGAGGTCAATCAATCATTATTAGAGGTCTTAATGCATTTATTTTTTTTTTCAGCTGTAAATATAAAATATAAATTGTATATTATATTGATAAAAATATGTAATATATAAGTTATCCATGTTTATTTTTAACAAGGTTATTAACAATCCATTACAATCAAAATCTTAATATTACTATTATTTTTTTTATTTACTATTTCTAAAACGGATATATGCGCAAATATTTTGTATATTATGTAGGTACCTAATATTAATGCAAAAAATTCAATTTTAATGTTTACCAAAATAATAAATTTGTACTAAATTCATTTTTCTCATTTACAATTATATTTTTATCGATAAGACTGAAAACGAATATCAAATAAATAATGTATTAATATCATTGTTTATTTGTTTCTGTTTTAAATTGATAATGATCAATAAGTATCTACTATAAAATAAATAAATGAGGTATTAACTTACGAATAACGAATATGAAGATAAATTTGAATTTATAATATCTTTAATGTTTTTTTTCGTTGTTTGAACACCTTGAAAAAATTGAAGGTTGTGCGATTTGAATCATAAATCATGAAAAATTTCTCAACTCTCTAAAAATATAAAAGAAAATATTTTTATTTTTTTTATTATTTCCTAACATTAAAATTATTTATTCAGAGAATCGTTATTTTTAATAAATAAACAATTATATTATTAATTTGATTATATGGCAATCAGTGTTTAGAATTGTGTACAACAAGGGTCATTAATTAATAATTTTCGAAAGTCGTGTTAAGATAAAAAGTTTTAAGAAAGTTCTCGAGTCCCATCAAGATTTTATGTACATATTTAATCAAAAAATTAACTGAATACTAACGAAAAACTTCATTCAATTCGTTATAAAAGAAACTTGGGATCCGGTATTGATTTTTAAATTTTTTGTTATTCCAAAAAAATTTTGAATTATAATTTAATTGCCATCTTATTTTAATACTTTTCATCTTATCTATTGTCTTATATTTATTCAAGTTTAGTTAATATATTAAAAAAAATATTTCAATAAATGATATTAATTAAAATTACTTTGCTGGAAAAACTCAAAGGACTCTCAGAATTGCCAGATTTTGATAATTATATTATTTTATCTGAGAGAAGAAGTCTTTCTATAGCTTATATTGAACTCTGAGTTTTAATTCAATTTCAAATAATCATCTAGAATAATTTGTAAAAAAAAGGCTTAAAATTATTTTTATTTTTTTATAGACACAGTATAAAGTTCAAAATTAAAATATTTAAAAACGAAGTTCAATGTGGATTATTGAATATTTATTTAAGTAATTCGATACCCACTATTTTCAAGGACTTTAATTTAGACAACTTTCAATTTTCTATATTCCTGTACGTAATTTAAATATATGCCTAATAAATAATAAGTGATCATTATTGTTTAGTGTGCATGACTGTTGTTATATATAATAAAGTTTAAAATAATAGCCACACGTACATGTTCATGTCAATAACGATTTAAGAATATGAAATATTTTGGTTTTTTTTTGTTTATAAAAGCGTCTTTGGTTAATTGAATTAGCTATAGGTGAGTTATCCAAAAAATTTTCTGAAAACATATTTGAAACTTTATTAATATCGACTTCCTTAAATTTTTAAATAATTTTTTTTTAAACACGTTTAATACCTATTATGTATAAACGTTTTATTATTCTTAATATTCAAAATTTTAAAACTAAACAAGTTCAAGAGTTAATAATTTCAAAAAAATGGAAAAAATATTTTGACGTTACAACTTTTTAATGAATAAAATATGTTTTTTAGAAGTTTTATCCATTTATTGCGATAGTTAGTACAAATGTAAAATATTGATATATGTTTATTTTGGACTTTGGAGAAACGCAATTGGAGCAGATTTCTCCTTAAAATTCATTATTATACTATCAATGTAACTACTATAATACATTTTACTTACAGTTAGTTTTTGTTTTCAATGTTTTTAAGGTTGTAGGTACACACAACACATATCTAATACTATTTCTCTTAAAATGAAAAATGTCGCTTAAAGTGTAATATCATTAGCATTTAAAATGTCTCATCTTACCTGCAGCTTACTACACAATTGTTGATTATATAATTTTCCGGAAACATTTAATGTATGAGCTGTAGTATTATACTACATATTATGTTTTATACAGTTACTCGTAGTAATTACTAATTACCTAAATAACCATTACATAATACTGATTTATATGTATAGATAGTATAATGTATAATAATACTATAGTATTATTGTTTATATTATATAATTATAAATATTAAATACGCATTGATAATAAGTGTACCTACGTGCACTTGTGCTCGTACGCTACTATACACTATGTTATTATTATTAAACACAAATAATATGATTTGAGTAGAAATGATAATATATTTTATTCATTAAATTTTACGATACGCGCACGTAGACACATCGAATTCCGATAAATAACATTGTCATTACCATCGCTTTAGTCGCGAGTTCTTCACGTTTTTTTATACGCTGTTCGATGTTATAGCTCTTTAGGTCATATTTTGCTATCATAAAACAATAAAACCAATACCTGTTAATAGGAAAAAGGGCATTTAAATGAACAAATTACAACGCAGCGGATATTATGTTTCGGAATATAATTGTAATTGAAGATAAATATAATATTCGTGCATAATTATTTGAAAAAAGTAAAACGATATAAATAAAATTTGAAATAATCAAAACAGTGCATATATAATCAAAGTCAATAAATTAATTTTATCATTTAATAGATGTGTATAATATTATATAGACGTGTAAATATGTGCGCGATAAAATAAACTATTAATTTATTAAAACTTATATCATGTGTACTATATATTCTATAAACTTAATTGCGATAATATAATTATAATATTTTAGTAGAATGGTATAACAAGTGCATAATATTTAATCTGTGCTTAATAATAAAATACTTGATATTCTATAACAATTTCTGTAAGTAAATAGGTAACTAGACAATTTTATCTTTTGGTAACGGGGGGTGACACATAATATTGTAATTACAATCATTTCAAAGGGGTTCGCGTAACCTGTAAATCTAAAGAATACAAAAAAAAAATTACCGATTCCGTAGGCCATGACTAATCCCGAGGTATACTACCAGAACTGTAAGAGAAACGTAATCACTAATTAATGTATTATGCCGGTAAATGATGTGATGGGGATTTCGATTGCTATATAGTGCTGAATGTACGTTTAATAATAATTTAGAGATCTATTTATCCTCCACCGCCTGCGTTTCCCGCCACTGTTGTTGTGTTTGACCGCCACGTCAGTGTGCCGTGATCCACAGACGTTGCAGCTGCCACTTCCGTTAATCTCCACCCCAGTAATTGTGTGTAGCCACTCTCACCACTGCATCACGGTGTTTTACACAATGACGTATTTATGTCAATTTGTCGTCCTCGCATTGTCCTGCCGCACCCCTGCCGCTGTGGTGCGTTTCCTTTTATCTTCCGCCGCAATGGCCGCTCGCCCCTTAATACGATACACGAGCATTCCCGCGATCAGCACTCGGTCGACGAACCACCGACGAGGCGTCACGGCGCTAGCCAACCCCGCGCACCATACCTATAAATCCATGACAAATATGCCGTCATATACTTTAGAGCTATGTATACACGGTATTGAGTGTCGGTAGTATCCTGTCAAAAAGTGAGGTGGAGGTGTAAAATTGGAGGTGTAATGCGCAAGACATTTATGATTTGAAAACTGTAGAAAATACCTACCTAATAAAATTGATTTATTAATGAATTTTATTAGTTGGTAAATAACGAGTGTCGTAATTGAAACCGTACAACAGTGTGCAGTCATCGTTAAAACGGTAGATTAATTATGTACAGCACATAAATCAATTGATGTTTATCACTTTATCGGCTATAATCGTTTTCATTACCTATACTCCGCCGGACTATAGTGATAAAATATTCGATGAAGTGTGAAATTCGATAATTTACCAATAAATAATTATATATTATAATGGTTATATGATTGAGTCAATTATCATAAAAACACAAAGATCAATAAATATACTTTAATACATGATATAAATTTATAAAAATGCTCAATACACAAGAAATTACTATTAAACTACATATAAATAAAATAACGTTAATATCGAGGAAAAATATACATTTGTAACTGGAATTTAATCAATTGTTTAAAATAAATTTATGATGTAATTAAACACGGAAAAACAAACATGCCACACCCATGTGATAAGGTGTGTTGTGTTTTATACCCCATCGTTTGGCGTGTGTAAAAAATATTTTTTTATTGTTTAAATAGTAAAAAGTGTTTCATTGTTTGATTTTTCATCACTGCCGCAGCTACTAGACTCAAATATTCTAATTATTATTCTGCATCGTGCGCCAATTGCTAAATTATTATTATTTATGGATACATTTCTGTAGAACGCGTATGACGTATGCTCAAATTGCTACGACTGTCTTTAATATTAATAATTTATTTTTAGTCTCTAAATATTTATTTTCTTATAATATAAATCGTGGGTATAAATTGCCATATTTTTAGTATTATTTTATTGTACGCTGATCGCCAAAATTTCAAATCATTTGTATTCGACGCATAACTGCAAAGTTGCTTGAATTTTGTATCATTATTTTTTTTTTACTTTTAAATTAAATTTTTACTGTGGTCCACACAATTCGATAATGATTTCCATTCAAAATATCAAAAAGAAAAATAAAGTCAAAAAATGTAATTTCTTTAGTTGTTTTTTTTTTCAATCTTATCAGTTATCACCTACTTACTGCATTCATATACTAAAATAGGCCTAAAATACGCTGCTATAGGTACCTACCTAATATTGTTATATTGGTCTGGTAATGGTTTAAAAATGACAAGCAAACATTTTGACAAATAAAAAACTGAAATTATTCGTCTATTTATCTCATAACTCGTAATCATATAGGTAGGTACGTACCAACAGAGTGTGAGGCCAGTATCCAGTGTAGTTGGCCGGTCCCGAATCCGGGCCACGGGCATATAATCGCCCTCCTTGCCGGAGCGCGGACCGTACCCACCGGCGGGCCGACGGTACCAGCCAACGCTGGACACGAGCCTCCAATCGCTTCCTCCTGGAAGTCCACCAGCATCCGTCACCGTAGTTGTCGTCGTCGTCGTACTCTTCCTCGTCGTCATCCTCGTCACCGTGTCCGTCGTCGCAACCGGATACCACGCGAACGTCCGGGTTGGCGGACCGCAACATGGCCGTGGCTACGTACGCGGGCCTGACGCACTGCACTCGGACGCCGTAACCATCGTTTCCGCCGTCACGTCCTTTGGTCAAATACGCGCACTCATCGTCCAGGTCGGACGATAGCTTCTCCAGAAATTTCTAAACACACATAGTATACGTCGTGTGAGTGTATGTGTGCGATGTTACCAAAAGTCAATGTCGGCGAGTTCTCGTGCCAATGATGACGATATAGTATTATACATGCGTATGAAATATACGAATCGGAGAATTTTTATATTTTCGGACTAATATTGATTTTTTTAAAATATTATAAGTACCTGCTTATTTTTTAGAAACGTTTTCATTCCGCAACAAGCATTAATACTAGTTATTTATCCCTTCGCTCCCATCATAAGTTATAGACTATTTGTAACTGGTAAAACCGGTAATTAGGTTCAAATTAGTATCTATTACCTAGGCCCTAGGGGAACAGATGGCGAGAAGACCGATTCTATTTTTTACTCATTTTAGGGACTACGACTCGGGGAAAAGGTTGAGAAACGGTGACGATACGTAATAATTATAAAAATGTATTTTACCTTTGTGGCGGCGTACAAGGCCATCAGTGGCGTGGCCGGCGGTATAGACGCCGACGCGCTGCCCACGTTGATCACTAGGCCCCGACCGCGGGCCAACATGCCGGGCAGGACGAGACGGCACGTGTGCACCGCCCCGGCCACGTTGCACCGGACGGCCACATCGGCGTTACCGCAATAATCGGCCGTGAACTGCACCGGCCCGTCGCCGTTTCCGGATGCAACGTCGTTGTCGGCTGTCATACCCGCAAAGAACTCGGGATGCGGATAACACGCGCCTGCGCAGTTCACGAGTACACCCACGCCTCCGGTCGGTTGCAACCGGCCCTCGACAACGGCCCTAAGCCTCCGATACCACAGAGGGCACTGGAGACGGGCTGGCCGTTGTCCGTCGCTCTTGCAGAAACATCGGTCGCCCACGTCGTCGTCCTGGCCACCGTCCGGCTGCAGTTCCGGGAGGATGGTGCTGTTATCGCCCCGCTGTCCCGCGTCGTCGTCTGTCTCGTTCCGCGCCACCGGATCTTCCGCAAAGTCCGCCACCACCGTCATTACCCGCCGCCGGCCGGCTGATTCTTTTCCTGCGCCGACCAATTAATTGTAAATCAAGAGACCGAAACTATATATTATGCACGTTCACACTGAGTGTCTCAAATTAAAACTGATTTCATAGACCAAATTTTATTTTGTATGCTGACGCGTATTTGAGTGATTGAAACATAGGTATATTTTGTTATTGGAGCGTATTATTATTATTATTCGCATATTGCATACACTATGAATAAATAGATATGAAAACTATTTTCTTTTTGCTATAAAGACGACAATAATATGTCGAACAATAGTTAATTTAAAATTATCGCGGAAAAATGTTCGAAAATTATGATTTTTTTTATACTTTGACATGGTTTCATGTTTGTAAAAAAAAAAAAAAAATCAATAATTAGATACTACCATTGTTAACGAATTTACGATAGACCTGCAGTTTATTTACTTGTCATGTTATCAATTATATTTATTAATTAATTTTGTTAACGTGGTGCACATTTTGTCATTTTCGCATCATGCGCATTTACAACATATTTAGTATCTACCTATTTATATTATAATATTAGTATATATTGTGACACATATTATATTCTCATTAGTCATACAAGTTTAATATTGTAAACGATTAACATTCGTTTTTGTTGGGAAAATCTATGTAAAACATACAAAATGTATACACTTAATCGGTTGTTTTAAATTAACATTAAGGCATGAACCTCTAGCTAAAATTCAAATTTGATCAGGGATCTCTGTTTTTGTTTATGCTTATGGAAATTACCAGCTTTCCACACGTGAACATATTTCAATTTCATTTAAACTTCAAAATCAATTTCATTGAGTGTTGTATTTGTCACGCCTCACGCAGGAGTGTGAACTGCTTAGTCGTCTGGTTAAGTACAATCACATACCAGCTATTGAGAACTACTATACAAAGGAACAAAGGTGACCCTCAAGTCACGCCCTGAGTAAATAAAAAGTTTAAACAGTTTCTTTTATAATAAATATCCCGCTATGTGATGTTGGTTGTTGATGAAACATAGCTTGTGATATTGTTAGTAAAGTTGATCGAAAAAATAAAACTTTTGTTTCCGATTCTGAATGAAGTCAAATGACTGTTGTAGAATATATTTTTACTACATATTTTTATTTTTAGACTTTTTAGAGTCAAAATTATTGTTCCACACCAAAAATTTGAACAATGTTATAAGTTTTTTAAGATAAAAAAAATAATTTTAACGCAAAAATTACATTTTTTACATCGCAGAAAAATTAATAGTTAAATCTTCAAAATATAGATTATATTTTATTTTCAATGTTTGAAAGTTTTAAGTTTTTTATATTTGTACATGAGAAGATCGAGAAACAAACTTGAAACATTAAATGTGGCAAATTAATTAGTGAATAATATTCATGTGAAATTTGGAAAAAGTTTTAATACATTTGGTAGGTATTACACTTGTTAAATTTATAAAATTTTAATTGTAAAAATATTTTATACCTTTTAATAAACATAATTATATTGTTTAATTGTATTAACAATGTTTTAATAACTTTTTTTTTTTTACTAAACATTTGTAATCTATGTTTATTTATTTATCTCCTGAAAGTTCATAAAACAATAAATAAGTTTTACAAAGGTTTGTACTAATTTAACACCTGGGCTTTTCTCATATTTAATAAAAATTAAAGATAACTAATACGTAGTACAAGTATACAGCCCTATAGATTGTACTATGCGCAAATAGTGATTTATTTATAAATATTTCCTCATAAGTTATAATTTATAACTTTGCTATATTTAATATAAATACTTGGTATTATGATAAAAACTATTTAATAAACTTAAAATAATACAAAAAAAAGCTAAAGAGGAATATATTTTAATTTAAAATTATTATTTACTACTTAGTTTTAAGTTACTCTATACTATATTTTACTTCTATTAATGGATATCTTTGAGTTATAAATCATTCATATACCTAATCATGTGTCATTAAAACTGTAAACATTTTAAAAACTCACAAATTGTCTAGCATTTAAATATAGCTATGAAAATATTTTAAAGTTAGAGATACTTATTATTTTATTTGTAGAATTTTTACATACAATATTATAAATGTACAAGTATACAATGGATAAATTTAATTAAATTTAAAGTTTATTTGTTTTAAAGGAGTAAAATATAAATACTATAAACTAAACGCTTTCAGAGTTTTGTTTTTTATCTTTGCAAATATTGATTCGTTTGCAATGTATTACTTTTAAAGTTTTGATTTTATCTTTTTGAGCTTGGCAGAAACAAAAATATTAGTTTTCAAATCATGTTCCACCTATATATATATATATATATATATATATTTATTTTTTTTTGGATTTTATTCAGTTAATTCATTTTTTGATACAAAAAAATAGCTCAAAAGAAGTACATATTATTTTAGCAACATTCGTGATTGTCAATTTAGCCAAGATTTCACATTTTCACATCAAAGAACTCGATTTTCGAAATTCTATGTTGTTTTTTTTTTAGTAAAAGTCGTTTCAGTGTAAAGGGTAAAGAGTTTTTTACATTTTTAAGCAACTCCAAAATTATATTTTTTTATGTATACATTTATATATTAATATGTTTATTATTATTTATGTTATAATTAATTTCAGTTAATATATCTAAATAATAGTTATTGTTCTTTGACACAATATTATTATGCTAGAAACGTATTTATAAATACTTTAATTATTTTTTGAGGGAATAATAATACCTGTAATAATAATATTTTTTAACGCTCAACATCATTGAAAAACGTTTTCAGCTAAGAAAATTTAAAATAAAAAAGATATTAGGAAATGACATTAAACATTTTATACCACATTTTTTGAAAAACGATTAAACGCGCACAAAATATTAACATTTTTATTCAGTAAATAAAGTTTTTGAAATCAATAACTGAAATTTATTAAGAAGTATTTGAAATAAAACTGTTTTGAGCTTCATAATATCGGTTTAATTGACATTTGAATAATTAAAATAAGACATTGAGACGTACGTTTGGCCAACCACCCTTCATCCTAATGAAGATCACAAACAAATTATGCAACTAATCAGCAAGGATTTTGCATAATTTTGCAAGGTCTATCTTAAAATTTTCCGAAAAGACTTTCTTTCTAAAAAACAAAAACATACGGATGGTAGCAAATACTACTCAGTATATTTTTCTCCCCAAACCATACTAAAAATTATAATTTTCATATTTTTTTTCATGTTGAATTTTACTCTATAAAGTTGTAAGCTTGGAAGAGCTTCAGAAAAAAGTTAATTTTTTCAATACATTACCAAGAATTGCTAAACCACTAAAGAATTTTCTATTAACATTACGTTAGAAATATTTACGAGCAAATATATATCATTTATTTTTTTAGATTGCTTCACGCTGTAAATAAGACGTAAAAAAATATTGACATCAAAAGAAATGAATAATATATATTTTTTTAAATCAAAGGTATAAAAATATTTTTGATTCCTTAATCGAAAACTTCAAGAAGTACCAAGCGTCAGTTTTTTGAACAGCAGAAAATTGTATTTTAAGTCAAATGAAATATCATGTAATATAAAGTATCTAGTTACGACTTTTAAATTGAAATTGGCAGTGAATACGACGAATTTTTTAATAATCATTTTTAACCATAATACAGTTACATAATATATTATATATTATTTAAGCATACCTACTTATTATATGTAATTCCGTACAAGTACTTTGAACAGAATTACGGACAAAAATATTCGAATCACATTGTTTTGCTGTTAAGTTTTTACGTTTTTTTTAAATATTACGATTAAGTATGTATGTTTTTAATGCATTTTTAAACTAAGATAGAGAATACCGTAGTTTTATTATTTTAATTTTTTAGAATCAGTTGAATCATTATTAATAGTCAGTGTTGGAAAATATCTAGATAAATTATCTAGATAGAGTTGATTTATCTTTCATCTTATTTAGATAATTCTAGTTATTTATGAGTACCTATCCAGATAATTTATTTTCATGGGTTAAAAAATTATTAAAATTAAAAATATTATTTTTTTCAAACGTCAATTTTTTTGTTTTATTAACTCGGAGATTGACTTGTTATCTTCTAATGAAGTTTATTCAAAAATTAACTTTTTGTATTTTTTCAAATTTAAGCTTTTTTTGTATTGTTAAATCAGAGAATGACTTTTCATATGTTCTAATGAATAAATTATTTTATTTTATGTTTATATTTTAAAATGTTTTAAATGATATATTCTTTTACCTAATATCTGTATCTACATCAACTGAATATTTGCAAAATTAATGAAATTAATTTTTATTTTTATCTAAATAAAATTTAGTGTAATTATCTTTATCTTTATCTAAATAAATTATTAAATATCTATTCCCAATACTGTTAAAAGTATACACAAACAACTTTATTAAAAATAAATAATAAAAAAAACCATTGAAGTGTACATTTCCTGGAATCTAACAAATACAATAGTTCAAAACTTTTTTCAAACAGTATATATTATACTCGTATTGACATAATATTTTGGAATTCACTAAAATACAAAATGTTAAATAAATATTTTTGAAAGTATCTATATAAAATTAAATTAAAATAAATAATTAATTCAAAATATCCAATCTTATAACATATAGCATCATTTATCAATATTATTTTGAGAGAAAAAAAAAACATTATTTTAATACAACCCTATGATTATTGAAAGCCAAAAACAGCAAAAGTTTGAAAACACGATTTTGAATATGAATAATGTAATGTGTGTACCACAAAAAAAAAAAAAAAAAAATAATAAAAAAATAGTACTAAAATTATAATGGACTTGTTTTTTTAAATTATTTGATTTTTAATTTTAATGAATATTTATTTATTTTGTCAAAGTTTTTTTGTACCTTATATTTTTATTCCTGCATATTATAAACCATTTTATTCGTATTTTAAAACAAAATACCATTATTGTACATGTTTTATATTTCTTATAATATATCATGTTTATTTTATTTATTTTTCTTATCTAAGTAATTGATTAAAAAAATAAATATATTTATCATATTTTATATCGTATTAAAATAAAACTATAGATAGATCTTGATTAATTGTTGTAAAAGCTTAAATGAAGAATTTTTTTTCCTATTTTATATGGATTATATAGTAGAAGTTTCTAAACTGTGAGATCCGGCTCTCTCTTGGGAGGCGCTTGATAAATATTTTTATAGTCTATACACACTATAATGTACCAATAACCAATATAGTACTATAAATCAATAGACATTTTCGCTTAATTTATTCAAGGGATGCACGATTGAATTTTTTCTATTTCTGGGATGCATGAACCAAAAGTTTGGAAACCACTGGATTATATTAAAATGAAATATCTATATATCCATTTTTTAAATTTAATTATTATTTTAACTCCTCCAAAATGTCACATTCTTGGATTTTGTAATCTAGATGTCTTTAGTTGCATAAGATGTGCCAAAAATAAAATACTGATTTTGAAATTCTGAAATGATGTAACTATTGTTTTAAACTATAAGGTATTATTTCTAAAAAGACCGTTGTATTTGGCAAACAGACTTTATGAAGTTAGTCCATCGATGATTAAATTATTTTATAGTACAAAAATAATAGCAAAAATGTGCTTAAGTATAGCATATATTTATGTAATGTATTTGGTATCAATGGCATTGATAGTTAGAACAAATAGTAACAAATTGTTAATTGTTATTGTTATAATATTTTAGCTCTAATAATTATTAAAATTAATATTATCATTTCTTTTGAAGTGTTTAAATGGTTGTGTTGTTTTTGGTTCTGTATAAACACATGCTTAGAAATATCGAATTTAGCAAACAAAGGCATAAACGACGATTGATAAATTACTTTAGCACTAGGTCGGTTTTTCGCATTTTATTTATACTACACTACTATTATAATAATAACATAAGACTAATGGACGGCCTTTTAGGAAAATATGTCGGAAAACGAATAACACGATACCGCCTACGGTAGAGTTTCGTATGATTGCAAATTGGTCGTTTATTTACGAAAATATAAATCAAGTGAAAACAAAATAAAAAAACAAACAACCCGTCTAGTACAACCATAATAGTGGCAACAACAATAACAACAACAACAACAATAATAACCTCTTGTCAATATGATATTATTATTAACCAGTAATTAGTGATTATACTTACTTATCAGTCGGGCAACAGCTCGCAGCTTGTCCGGGTTTCGTCCAACTAACAGCACGTCCATTCCGTGATTGATGGCCAACTGCTCGTATGGTATACAAAATAATAAATACATAAAATAAATCATGTATTCGCTGTATCAATTAAAATATTAAATAAATAATACTAATTTAGGTTTAGGAACATAGTTTTTCACAAATGTGAATTCGGATATAAGTACTAAATAAAAATTCTACTGTTAAATAAAACTAAAATAATGTGACAATAAAATCTGTTTAAAAAAATTGCATTGGTAACGAAGAGAGAAAAGTCAAAACTATTTTTACACGATATTAGTATAGAAAATATATCAATGATTGTGAATTTTTTTTTTTTTTTTTTTTAATAATTTGACAAAAAGCTAAATGAGGCATAAATGTAGCCGTGTAGGTAATCAACAGTCTAATAAATAAAATCTTTAAAATATATAAAATATACTTATATTATTTTCCAAATATTATTTTACTTAACACTACAGCTATTTATTACTTGATAATTAAAAAAAACATGCAAATATTAGAATATACAACAATTTACATACGTGTTAGGGATTTATGATACAATTGTGTACATGAGTAACGATAGATGGTCTCGACACTTAATTCCATGAACGACGAAATTAAAAATGATTTATTTATTAAAATCATTTTTTCCGTATATTATATGTACTATATATATAATATATGTATATATATACAGTTTGGTCGCACGCACTCACGCACGACTAAATTGTAAATCGCGTGACGCTAAACACACGGACGTCATAATCAAACGATTCTACGCACTCGATCACCAACATGTATTTAACACACACATTATCATTAACATATTAAGGACTATTTTACACGCACCATTACCATCACCACTATTTCATGTGAATTTTATTTAAATAGTATGTACTGCAATTGCAGTGGCGTATTGACAGCTAACAGTAGCCGATAAATAGATAATTAATTTTCCGTTCTCAGTGGTATAAGATATATAGATATCACCCCAAATGTATTTATTATTTTTGTATATAGAATTATTTGTGCTGAATTATCATTAAAAATGTAAGTGCTCAATAAAGAAAAAGCCGTGGCTTTTATAATATGTGCGAATATAATATAAAGTTAATATAGTCATAAGTTAGAATAGTCACACTTTATAGAAAAAAAAAAAACTAATGAGATATTCAAAAAGGAAAAATAATTTTTATCGTTGAAAATGTTATTATAATCGAATGAAAGCCAAAAAGGAGAAAAGCATAGTAGGGAAAGTTCTAAATGAAGATAAATGAAAGATATATAAGAACAGTGGTCACAGATAAATGAAAAACGTTGGTTAGAGAAAAAAAGTCGGTAATAAGGATAATCAAAACAAGACATTTTTATTTTAACAAGTGAAAATTATAATAGAAGGGGAAAAATGGAAAAACATATAAAGGGAAACTTCTAAATGAAATAAAACAAATCCTTTATACGAAGAGCAATCGCAGATAAAGATAAAAAAATTTTTGGAAAGAAGAAATTAATTAATAGGATATTCAATATGAGAAAAAATAATTTTTAACAATGATAATTTTAATCAGAGAAAAACCAAAAGGGAGAAAAATAAAATAGAGAAAGTTCTAAATTCAGAGAAATAAAAGCTTCATTTAAGAAGTGCGTTTATAGATGAATACATTTATAGAGTGCGAGAAGAAATTAATTATCATGTAATGTGAAATTCTAATGAAGACTATAATAGTAATAATTATAGTTTATTGAAGATAATTGTAATCGAAGGAAAATCAGTTAATATAAGACCAAGATAGACAAGAAAGATAAAAAGTGCATCATTAAACATAAACGATTTTACTCGATTCATGAAAGAATGTAGTGCTATATGTATATAACTATAATAATGGAAAATGGTTTGAATTATTAAACTGACTCAAGGATTGAAAAGAAAAAACACGCAGGTGTGACAAAGTTATTTTAAGCAAGAGGGTGGTACTATTTTGTGTAGGAGATAAAACGAAATTTGCTTATTTTTTTTAGCTTATCTTTTTTTTTTTGTTATTTTAATGAAGTAAAATTTAAAATAAGACATCAGATATCTTTAGGTAAAGAACACGCCACTACAAGATTGCATACACACGCACACTAATATAATATCATGTCGTTGTTTACGACGTAACATATAGTTTAATAACTACTGTCTAACTGTAACTAAACTATGGAAAATTTTGTTATTTGTGAGATTATTTGTTGGTTAGTCGACGAGCGGGTTATGCACCGAGTCCTCTGTCACCACATCGTCATCGCGAACGAGGCCGACATTTTTGGCGTTGCTGCTGCTCTTGATGTTGCTAATACTGCTGTTACTCACTTGACGTGCGTACTCTTTGCCGATTCCATCAGTGGCGCCAGTGATCACTGGAATCATATAAACGCATTTCACTTGATCGCCTTTCACAGGTTAGCTGGAGTGAATAGGGAAATCAAGAAAAAACAAACAAGAAAAATAGGTACTAACATAATGCACTCAGCAGGATGAAAAAGATAGTTTTTACTTAGTATTTGGTCGATGGAACAGTAAAGTCGAATTATAATTAATACTATTAAATTTTTGTTTCTATAGTTTTGTTATCGGTTGAACATTTACGTAGCAATGCATTGAATGTACAAAAAATTTATGGCGACTATCAGTACACACTATTGAAAGAATACTGTTAAATGGCGCGATATAAACATTGATATTGTACCTACTTATACACTATAAGTACTAATATAGTATTAAATACAAATAAAATTTTTTGTTTCATTCATTCAAGGGAGGCACGATTGAATTTTTTCTATTGCTAGGATGCGTGAAACATAAAAGTTTAGGAGCCGTTGGTTTACATCATATTTTGTTACTTTTCACGAGCGCACTATTATATTGTGTACCTAATAAATACGCACATTGATCGAACGTGTAGTTCAAATTTCTAATGTAATTTCCATTAAGACGGATTCGAATTCAAACAAATTTCATCGAGTAGATGTAGTAGGTAGGTACGCAATATTATACGCAATATTAAACGTAATATGATAAAATAATACACATTGACTTGAAATCTTTTGTGTTTATATCGTTTAAAGTTACACGTTGGAAGAAACCTCATTTTTGTCTTCTTCTCAGTGCCTTGCCTAGAGGGCACAAGAGGGGCGTATACACGGGGCGTCATGTCCACCAGGGCACCAAAAGCTTTTTATAATCTAAGTAATATTACTGAAAGATGAAAGTTACCCATATTAATTTATATTTTTTCACGGTTTCAATATAATATCACCCTGATCGGCGCTGTCGATTCATTATTTTGACTGATGATGAAATAACAATTTGAAATCTATTGTAGTTGTAGTCTCTAGGCAATTATGTAAAAATACCTATTTATGTATGGATATAATAATTGGTTTTTATTTTTATTCCGAAAAAAGACGTCGTTGATCGTCGATACAATAATATACTAAAAAGTAAAAATATATGTATACCACATTATTATTGTTATTTTATATAATAATAATTTTTTATAATAACAGAATGTCGACTGAAAAAAGTTGTACGATTTTATTTTGAACTCATCTATGGTAGTGTCCACATCACTCATTATAGAAATTGGTACAAAATTATTTTTTATTGGCATTTATTTAAAGTTGAGTTATTTTTTATGCAATCGAACAAATTTGATTTGTGAATATAATAACCTGTATCATAAAATGATACCGGTTTAGTATGATAGGTATATTATATATATCTACCAATATTTTTTATTCTACTTAAACAGTTTGAATATGACATTACTAATTTTAAGTTAGAAATGTACAAAATTAAGTAAATCTAACGAATTTCTCTCCCCTAATCTTATGTAATCTCTCTATAGGTATAAACTTACTTGGTAAAAGGGATGGGGGCGCTAAAACTGATTCTTGGTACCGGCCACTGATAATGCTAGGCACGGCACTGCTTTTTCTTATAAGTGTGTAACATGGACAATTTATATGCTCAACAGATTACGTTTACTTTTAATTTAGCAAGTTTTTCATGTATAAAATAGTGTGATTTAAAAACGGAATTATTGTAAACAATTAACTTTCGAACACCACAGGCACGGATGTAATTAGGATTTTAATCAGGGGAGCAGTTAATAACCTTTTTTTTTTGCTTTTTTGATTTTATATTAACACTTACACGTTTGGTATAAAAAATAGAATTTAGTTTAAAGTGCAGAGGAGACACTTGCCTCCATCTACCCCACCTTCGCTATGCCCATGAACACAGATAATGTTTTTATTATTAAGTTACAGTATAACTAGGTTAGTTCACTTTGTATAATATCGAAACTAATGAAACCACAAACGTAAACTGCTGCGAGCAAAAATTCACCATATTATGTACTTGTACGACGAAGACAACAATGAACTAAATATGCAGTTGTAGCATCCTCAAAGTAACGTGCATAATAATTTTATATTATACTGTTCGTACACTGTGTACACACGTTTTTTTTTTTTTTTTTATCAAATATTTCTATCGTAGCGGCTCGCGTTTGATGATCGTAAAACTTTGTGAGTTATGGCCTGACGTTAATTATTTTTGTATATACGTATAATTTATATATATACTATGTACTATATATTATAATAAGTATATTAAAACATAAAGCTGTTTCTACATGTCTCGTGTTATCGTTTATTTATCGAATAAAGTTTTAACCTGTTCGACATTGACAAGTTACTCGGTTTTTCAACGGATTATCGCGTTCACCAAGTTGCCGAAATGTTAGACCACGCGAGAACGTCCGAACAACAGCCGTACGGTTATTAAACTAAATTATTTTATTTTTTTAATTTTGAACTCTGTTCCCCTTCTCTTCCCATAGTTTTTATTATAAACAGAACATTATACTAACAGTGCCATTAATCGTTTACTATCGCTTTATTTATTATCGCAATTAATTTCACTCTGTTTATTCATCATTTATTCAAAGAAGACCTTTATTAGGGTCTATCCGCGTACATATGTATACCGCTTACGTTTTTTTACCGTATTGAGTGAGACTAAACGGTAGGTGGCCGAAATTACGTCGTATTCGTTTAATTAAAAACAATACGGTTTAATAATTTTTTAAAGCTATTGCGATTATTATATTTTTGTTTTCGAAAAACCACGACTCCGATATTGTTATTATCACAATCGTCCGACGATGTTTATTATGATAACGCCAATATAGCTGCAGTGTACCTAAACACTGCGCGCCGCGCAGCAATCGGCTGTACTTGCGGGCGGTAATCGCTTTCATCGCGGTTAGTGCACGAGAAGGGGGGGATTTTTTTCGTAAAAATGTAAATACTAAGTAAAATAACGCCGAAACGGAGTGTGTACGTCGTAAAATATTCTCTATAAACGTCTACGCTATATCATTCGAGTGTTATTGCAGAGCCCGATCAGATGAGCTGGTTAAATCGCTGGAAATCATAACAGCGACGCGACGTTATGGGAATGCGGAAAATCGCAGACCGCGATATTGTCATATTATTGTAATTCTATCGTGTCGTCACGTCGCTTTGACGTTTGCACATCAATCTAACCCGCGAGCCCGGCGCAGACATGACATCTCAGGTACCCGTGCACATCGCCGGAAACGCGGTGTCCGTGAAAATCCGTAATGCAACGTCGTGTGCGCGTGCGCAACACATTATCAGGTGTTGTATTATTGATTTTCGTGGCGCTAATATCGACAGCAATATTATTTATACGGTTATTAAAATTCGTGCGAATAAGCAGCGACCTTTGCGCGGTGGGGTCACGCGAATCGAAGGTCGGCCAAATTTCGAGGAATATATATATACCTACGCCGTACTCGTAGGTAGGTACCGCGAGGAAGTGAATTTTTTGTGCTTTTCGAAAACGCCTTTGCAGGGGGAGTGGAGGGAGTGCAGTCGTTAAAGGTCGAGTCGGCGTGACCCCGCATATAGGTATAATGCAGGAGTGCACGAATAGGTTCGCGAGCCACATAGATAAATACAATGATACCAAGAGCCAAAATGCTTATATTTTTTAATCATTTAATATATTTTTTATATGTTAATACCTAAAAATTAAAATTCATAATAATAATAAGTACATTTTTTTAATTTTGTTAATAAGACGCAAGCCGCATCTGATAATGACGAGAGCCGCGAGTCGGCCGCCTATGGTATATGTATATCATAATATTGTAACATACTCACCGGCCCATTGGCCCGTCGACCGGTAATCGAACTCGTCGGCGGCCCCTTGGTCGGCGAACAGGTTGTTCTTGACCACGTACTGCTGGTAGGCCGCGTACGCCAGCGACGAGGCGCCCAGCGCGCACACGGTGGCCGCGGCGAACGCGCTGAGCGCGAACTGCGGCCAGCCCTCGGTGTTGCCCACGTAAATGGAGCTGATCAGGATCCAGGCGACGACGCCCACCAGGCAGGTGACACCTGTGGTGACCGTGCTCGCCCGCTTGGGCTGTATCCGCGACGCCATCGCGAACGTTTCAATGCGGCGCACTGTTGCGATCGGCGGCACGCGCGTTTGCGGTGCGGAACGACGAACGGTGCGCAACGCTCTCGAGACGTGGAAAAACGCGCGACGGCGGAAGACGACCGGTTGCGCGCGCTCGTCCGGTTCGAAATGGCGCGTAACTGCGGCGGCGACCTACGATCGGTCGTAGGCGGCGGCGGCGGCGATAATAATATTATTATCGTTGTCGATCACGGCGGTCAAACGTGCGGGCGATGCCGCCAATGTTAATGACGCGCAGGTACAACGTTTTACGATGTACTCAATGTAATAATACGACCGGCGGCGGACCGTAAGACGTAAAACGTGATTTACGGTCGGCGATTCAACGACGGCGCGTGTGCCGTTAAAAAAAACATTAATAAATTTGTCGACGGCACAAAGTCACGGCGTCGTTATTGTACGTAAATCGAAAAATCGGACGCGACGGCGGCGGTTGTCAAGCGCGGATAACACGACGAACGACCCTGTTGCAAGGTCGGCGTCGTCGGCTGGCGGTTGCTAACGACCGCTGCCACCTGTAGAACCGCGTCTGTTGTCGTAACAATATTATTACGTACGTAGATGAACGGTGCAGGGACCGACTCAGCTGCGGCGCGGTAAAACGCCACGCGTGTGTGCGAGACGAAAGCGAAAGGGGAGAGCGCAAAGAGGGTTGACGACGGGCGAAGGGGGCGATGGGGGAGGATGGGGGGGGAGAATCGTGTATTTATTTATTTATTATTATTATTATTATTATTATTATTTTTTTTATCGTCGTTTTCAAACCGTCGCGGTGTTAATGCGACGGTGTTGATTAGTTATTATGATTATGATTAGCATTAGGATCATGGTTATGATATTATGACAAAGTATTATTGTTCGCGCTGTTGTAGTTAAGTACGGTGTATACGACCTTTGATGTTGCAGCAGAGTTAATTATAAATGTCTGCCGGTTTGTGGGTCCAAGGATCTGCCACAATTACGACATTTGTTGGTGTTGTTGGCCCAGTTGTTCTGTCGGATAGGCTGATCGACGACCATGGCATTTAGTAATAATTGATCCTCGTTTTCGAAATACATGTCTTCTTCTTCTTCTTCAGGGTATACTAAATCCCTGTAGAAAAATGTCATCATGAAGTACACGAACGCGGTGTTTATGAATACAAAACACATGGAAAACCAGGTTAGACCGAGTTCTATGATGATGTCACCGTCCGTCAACGGAGAATCTGTTGACGGTACGTTTAATGGCGTGTAGAGCGAAATTTTGAAAAGTCGAAAACGAAACGGTAGAGGATAGATAGGACTCTCGTTAGAAAAAGTCCTAGACAGAATTAAAATAGTAGCCGAACGTCGAAAAATATCGAACGGAAGACGGCGGAGATGAGGCTGTGACGATGCTATAAATCACGCGCGGTCGAGCCCGTTTCGTTTGACGAAGTGGTTCTCTTCTCGATATCGCTGTCGTCGCTGCTTTCGCCAACGTCTTGTGCGCACGCGACAAACGTACAACGCACACGCGTATTGTACGCATTCGAAGCAACACACACGCACACAAGTACGCACTTACGCGCCAACACATCCGACAATATGTGCATACCTGCCCGCCCTCCACGATGTGCGTATAGGTATATACCCACCCGTCACAGGCTCCGTAGTAGTAGGTGGGTTTTGGGTCAAACGTTCCGTATAAATGGTTTTTAATCATGAATTTTTTTTTTTCATTATTTTTAAATCCCGATTTTCTACAACCCTAAGTTTAATGATTTTCGTGGTACACGACGGTTGCCGTTAAACACTTATAAATTATAAATTAGTGTCACGCCATGATCCAGAAAATCATTTTAGTTAGCGTTAAATAGATTTGAACCTCTCGCTAATTTACAAATCGACGGTTTTCCACGAACTACATTGATATCAAACATATTTCTATCTTACTTTTTCGAATAAACTAAAAAATCAGCTACATTATTGGTAAATACCTCACTATGAGCCGATATCTGGGCGTCAAAAAGTAAAAAAGTCTCACAGTGTGTGTATAATAATATATAAGAAAAAATGGTAATTTTACTCTAAATTATTAAAGTTATATAATCGTGTAAAATGTTTAAAAAATTCAAAATATAACTCACTGTATAATTTAAATCTCAATTAAAGCTATAATTATTACGCGCCATAGAAATTATTCTTACTTTTAAATTTACAGATAATTCGATTTAATAAATTTGGTATGTTGTATGTTAAAGTGAAGAAAACATATTTATAGATATGTAGCTCCCTTTCGTGTATAAATGTACTTAATTTAATAATTTTAAATAAAATACAAAATATATAATGAATTATAACTTACACCTCATAAAGATTATCATCAGTTATATCTATCATTTTAAGGTTGATGCACATGAGAGTGTAGCTCCTGTATTACTATTTTCATTGGACAGAGGGATATTGACATTTATTTTTACATACATTATTTGTGTTATATATATATGATTATAAAATTTCATCCATTGAATAACATATTTGAATACTGTACACTTCATAACCACCAGGAACAGAAAAATATTTGAATAAAATACTAACTATTTTCTAGGATTGCATAAAAAAATTGATTAATACGTTCAATACGATTTAATAAACAAGAGCTTTCAAATCATGGTCTACCGTATCAATGATTCTAAAATATTTTACATAAAAAGACACTCTTATTTAAATCCATAAAAATGGTGATACTTTTAAAGTTAAAATAATTAATGAATTTTTGAAAAAGTAATAATAAATATTATAAATGCATGTAAGTAAAGTTATTACTAATATGTATTACATTTTATAACAAATTTGTTCTGCTGCTTCCTTAATAAACATAGTACCTATGAATAATAGTAGGACAAAATTAAATATTCTTCGATGGTGTATAGTTTTTTTTTTCTTTGCTATCAACTCAAAGATATTAAAAGAACATAAGTGTGATTTATCATATATTTTTAGACAGTTTTTACTTTTTTATAAATATTGAGCTATTTTTTTGTCAAGTTAATAAACACATACGGTAATGTTTATTAACGTACCTATGTTTTTTATGTAAATTTACTAGTTTTATATTGGTAACCAATAAGATAAGACTATCTTTACAAATTGTTTACTTATCTTTGATTTTACCATTACGTTATAACGCCATAATAGCATAATAATTATATCCTATATCTTTATATACTTATAAAACCTATAATATGAAATTTTTTGGCGATACACATCACGATAGTATACGACATACCATCAACTATTGAGAACCACGGCGCTAAATCATGTTTAAATGAAAATTAGCTGACTATTTATTTATTAAATATTTAGTGGTTGCTTGTGCAATCCAGTAAATTAATAATACATATTTTGTATTTTTATTTTAAGATTAAGTATATAAAAAAATATTTGTTGTACAAAGACTTAAAAGACAATACAAGGATCATTTCTTAAAATACTAAAATATAAAATACTTCAATATTATTATTATGTTAATCCCATTTACTAGCATAAACTCGTATGGCAATACAAAATCAAATAAATATGTTTAATTTCATAAATAGATAACCATTGCACTATCCATTAATCAAATTATATAACTATGTTACGAACAAAGTTGTATACGAGTACTGAACAATATGTACACATTACCCGGGAAATTTGAATCATGATTACTTTTTGTGCAATATATTGGGTTAAATGTATTTTAAATAATAATATTTAGTAATATTTATTATAATGAAGATTTTAAAACAATAAAACTAAAATAATGATAATAACTATATACTTAATAAATAATATTGATGGGCATAATGCCGAACGAAATAAATTTATTAATATCACGCTAGAATGAAACTTAGAATAGCAAAGCCTGTTTGCTTTTCTAAACTTGGGTTTATTTGTTTTACTAAACTGTGAAAAATTCTATTGAACATCCATCAATATTAGCCATTAGGTAAATAATAATATTCATTATCATAAATTATAATTAACTATTTTAAATATTTAAAATTATAACTAATAATAATTTATTTATTTTTTTTTTTTACAGTAATTTTATCTTATAATTATTAATAATAAAAAATTTAAATTTAAGAAACAATTTGTTTACGTACATGATTAAATTTACTGGACAAATATACGTATACATTTCCTGTAATGTATACATTTTATTTAGTATAATTTTCAAAATATTTTAACTTTTTTTGGAGCTATTAAAGACATTCAAAATTAAAAAACTTGAAAATTTAATACTAGGTTTTTTTATAAGTTTAGTATGATTTTTTTTATAAGCATTTAAAATACAAAAAAAATCACGAACATTTGTAAATTATTTTGTGACGAAAAATAAGTATATAAAACAGACTCGAAAATTTAATATAAGGTTCTTCATTAGAAGCTCATATTTTAATAAAAAAAAATCTAAAATTTTAACAAAACTTTTTTATGAGCATTAGAGGTTCAAGTTTGAGTGAAATTTAGTTATTTTGTAGTAATTCTAAAATATTGTTTGTGAAACGACTTGATATAATAATAAAATAATACTTTATATGATATAAATAATTTTTCTATTAAAATAATCAAATATTAATCATATAATAAATGCATGCAAAGTTTTCGAAAAAAATGAACTCAACCTTCTATATTACTTAAATAACAAAATAAATTAATATTATTACTGTATAGCAAATTGGTTGCCTACATCGACTACATCCCTCTTTTTTATGTCGGTTTCAAAAAGTTGAAAATTAATCGAAAAATATTGGTAAAAAATTGATGCGATCATTGTGACACAATGGGGTCAGATTCTCGCAAATTATAAAATTCAGGTTAGATATACGAATAATTTGTTTTGGCAATTAATAATAATGACATAAAAATCATTTTAATTTTTAGCATTATGACTATCGTTGTTAAGCTTTAATCTTACATTTTTATTGCGAATTCTACAGGTAAATGAAATTAATATGAATTGAGGTGGGTTCAGCGTAGGAATTAATATTTACATATATTATACATAAAATTTATATGTTGATTAATTTTCTGTATCTTAATCTGTCTCACCATTCGGTACAAAGTTGTTCGTGACAGTCGCATTTACAAACATTACATGGTT